ACTGTGTAGTTACAAATATGGTGAAACAAATTTACAGTAACCGTTTGCTTGCAAGTATCGCTCTTTTAAATTGATCAAAATTTTTCCACTTATTACTTGTACAGTTGTTGAAGTTTACTTGACTAGAAAAACTTTTTTTGAAGAAGAAGAAGAAAAGAACCAAATTTTATTCATACAGAAAACAATTATCAAATTTGTGAAGACGATAGGTTCCTGTTTTTATCAATCTTGCAAATGCTGCTCCTGTCGCTGCTGCTGCTGTGGTGGAATGGTGGTTGTTTTGCTGTAGCATTAGATACCAAAACAGCTCAAGATTTCATTTGTTTCAGCAACCTTCAAAATTCTTGATGCTCTGCAGTATCAGCCAAAAGCAATTTGTAGTCTGATTCACTCATATGCTGCGCTTGAATTTGACTGTTACATTAAGAGCCGTGATTCAGTCCTAATAGACTTCGGAAATGACAAATAAAACAAGATTTTCAAATACACATCAAGTGATTAACAACAAAATACTTACTACAAACATCTGCTGTAGAAACTTCCGATATGCAACACTTGATTTTTTTTTTTTGTAGATCTAACCTATAAAATCTGAAAAAAATTTCGATGTTTAATTTTTATGTCGTATAAAAACTTTTTCTGATTTTGATTATGTCAATATACAGTTTTAGAATTAAGCACATTAACTTGGAGTGTAATGGATATAGCAACTTTTCACTTTTTACTCTTATTGCATCATTTTGAAATCTACTGTACAGCGTCTGTAACAAAACCAAAAAACTTGGTCTGTAGTTCTAGTAATCGTTAATTTTGTTATGGTTTGCATCAGACTATTTATCTGACCAGTCAAATATCTTTAAATTGGAATTCAAATTCTGTTTTTCGTTTCAGTTCAACAAGAATATCTGCAACCAATTTTTGCTTCATCTTTCAATGACAAACGAGCAGAAAAATAACTTCTAAAAAAAACAAATAAAACTGCCTTTTTTCTTTCTTTTTTTTTTTTTTTTTCTGCAGAAAAATCAGTTAGTAGGTATTTCAATGAAAACAGAATTTAAGAAAGATTTTATTAGCGAGCACTCTTCTTAATGCTGTTACTGTTGTTGTTTCTGTGTCCTTTCTCGCATTTGCCTCTGTCATCGATGTTACAGTGGTCATCGTTGCTTTTACTTGTGCTTCTACGTCTACTTTTGCAACTGCCCCTGCTTCTGCTGTTGTTGTCGCAGCTGCGATGACGGTGGGTAATGGTCACCACCGTTGTTGCTGATGCCGTTGCGGTTACCGTTAAAAAATACAGCAGGTAGAAGGAGCCAACAAACAGAATGTGATTCTCAGAGCCACGCCCTTCGACTTCTATAAAAGAGTGCCCACAGCAGTCAGTACTCGATCATCTTATTTAGCTATCGACAGCTGGCTGCTAATTACCATAATTTTCTGATCACATTTTAGTGCTTCTGAGTTATCGCTGTTGTTGTCGTTGTTGTTGTTGTTGTTGTTGTTCTTCGTACCGTTATGTCGCTTTATTCGTTGCAGACACCTCTTTTGCTTCTGTTATTGTTGTTGTTGTCCCTGTCGTCGTCGTTGATGCTGCCGTCGCTAATGGCTGACAGCAACGACCGTTTTTTTCTTAGTTTCAACTACATACTTTTTTTAAACAAAAGAAAACAACTAATAATTGCATCACTTCTATCCTTATCAAAATTTTATTAGAATAACTAAGTTGTTTAGATTTTGCTTATTTTGCTGTTTTTTAAGCATTTAAAAGGGCAACTAAAACAATGATTAAAAAATAATAAAAAACAAAAGACAACAATTGGAGGTAATGACAAGAAAATTGGTTTTGTGTTTTGCGTTTTTTATTCTTTGTCTTTTGCCAGTTACTTGAAAAAAGTAATTTAGTAATTTTTTTTTCGTCATTGCTTTAATGTGTTTCGACGGTATACATTTATTTCAGGGTTGGGATGCGATACATTTTACTGATATTTGCTTTGTTAACAGTCTCATTAGCTGAGGAGACAAAGGTTTGTTTTTTTTTTTTAAAGCTTAAATTATCTTGTGGTCTTTGGCTTTTTTCCTTTTCTTTACTGCTAAAATTCCTTAACTTTTTTTTCTTTTTGAAGTTGCTTTATTTGAATTCATAACACAATTTTTTCCCCTAGATTCCCAAAAATCTCAGTGACAGACTAATGACAATCCAGTGTGATCCTCAGCTGCAGTATAAAACTATTATATGTTCTTGCTGGCTGTAAAGTAGACTGAGTTAAACACAGACAAAAATGTGCTCAAAAAATTTGTCACTTATGTTTCGGGTATTTTTTTTTCTTTGTTTTATTTTCGGTTTTTTTTTGT